TCTCCTCACAAGACTGTCCACAGCACTCAGTGCTTTTCTGGTTCACTGGCTCGTCCCCTCCATCAGTCAAGAACATCTAAAAGCTCCATCTCCTCTAGATAAAGCATGTTTGGCTCAGAGGAAAAGGAAAAAGAACAGGGAAGGACTGGGCAAGGGGCTGATGTCCGTCGTATGTGTATAAGGGGCTCGCATCTGCATGTATCTGGGTAAGGCACTGGTATCCACCCACATGTTGGGAGGGGCTAACACCCACTCATACACTGGGCATGCTGCTAAATGCTTAGAAGTTTTACCAAGCCTGAGAAATAAATTCAAGTAAGTCCCAAGTCTAGGTAGGAAAATAGAGAGGATTAGGCCCAAGATTTTCCAGAAATCAAACAAGGAAGTGGCAGAGATGGAACGGACACATCAGTCAGACTAAGATCCCATCCAAGATACCATCGTAGCAACAAAAATAATAAATACATAAATAAAATACTGCTTTTGCTGTCTAGCTGTGATGTATTCTATCCCAGATAGTTCTTTACCACTTTTTACTGACTGGGCCCCTACCCTATAGCTTCTACAAGCACTGAATTTCTACAGAAGAAATTAAAAATCCCTGTAAAATTTGCCTTTTCTATTGTACACTGATAAAACATTTCAGCTGCAAAGGACAGTAGCACTGAATTCTTCATCCTAGCATGACTGTCTTGCCCGGACAAATGTCAGTGTTATCAAAGGGCAAGTAGCTGTTCAGCATAGCACATGCCAAACTTCCAGGCGCTCACAGCGGGTTCCAAAGCCAAACAATCCTCAAAAGCCAATGGCTGAGGTCAATCTGAACTTCCTTATAAACAGAAGACCCGGAAAACAAAACACAGAATCACTATATTAAAATACACCCTCTCATCTGTGAGCTTTTTAAATAAATCAAGAGTAAAATTAAAATTTAATGAAGCAGAGTTTTCTCTTGTCAATCTTTACTCAGCTACAATAATTATTTCTAATAAGTCACATGACATCATGACATCTTAAAGGGTTTATCACTACAAGGCAAAGAGGTGAAAATAATTGGGCTAGCATGTTTATTTTAGTCCTTTTATCTGAGGGGTAGACAGGAGCTTGGTTTGTAGCCCAGGCTGGCCTTGAACTCCTGCCTCCACCTCCAGAGTGCTGGGGTCACAGATGCGCCCCGCCAAGCCAGGCTGGCCTAGTTCTTTTCTATACTGGAAGGCATTAGAAACTGTCTAATAAATATCTTCTAGGCTTTCCCAAGTAATCCAGTTATTTTTCTTCACTGTTCTATTTTCTCACAGAACTTATTAAGACTACCATCACAAACCAATTTCAAATAATAAGAAACAAATTCACTCCACATTCTGTTTGAAAATAATACTGATCAAAAGTAATACTGATCAGCTCTTTGCTAATCAACCCTCTGTCTCCACAGATAATTAGGTGACAACTTCTAATATCATTTGTGATACAATAATTAAGTTGAAACCTGGCCCTTGTAACAGCACAAGAAATCATTTCTGAGGCTTGTATTCTGTTTCAGGGCCAGTTCGAACTCGGTCCTTAGGAAGGTCACTATCTATAGAAGGATCTTCCCTTTTGTGACACACTGTGAACAACAAAAAGTCCCCAAACCAAGGTTCTCTCCTTCCCTCTCCCACCCTGCCCTTCCTTCCGTCATTTCTTTCCCAGTCTTTTTTCTTACTCTCTTCCTGTTTTGCTTTTAAGATCACAGAGCGGTGAGTTATAGGTGTCAGGTTCAACCCCAAACGGTAAAGCCCACACACTCTCCTCCCCCTCCGCACGCTCGGGGTGTAAATATTTCATGGGAGCACCATCATTCACTCAGTGCTTACGCTGTCTGATCCAGCCTCCGTTCTGTCTGTTCAGTGCTCTGGAGGATAGCGCGTTCTCATGTCTGCTGCTCAGTCACATAAAGCCCTGCTCCTCAAAGGTTCTTCAAGTTCAATAATTCATTAAACACTCTGCTGGGGTCGGTAAGTACGTACGGGAATGCATAACTGTGGAGTGTGTGGCGCTATTAGAGAGTTTCTCTAATAAAATGGTGACTTTAGAGAAAATGACAGCATTGTTACTAATACAAGAGAGCGCACACGGAACAATCGCAGCGATGCCGTGCTAAGAGGCACGAGCTTCAAATAAACAGAAGCGACTGTTTACGGCTAAGTCATTAAGCAAACCCGCATGCAGGAAGGTAAAATCACAACACCAGTCCCAAGACTTCCTTCGGAATAAGTAGTCGAGCTTCCATTGCTACCCTTTGTAAATGCCACAGATACATCCACAATCTCAATACAATACTCCTGAAACTGAATTAAAAAAAAATGACATGTTAAACTTTGAAATACTATCTCCAAAATAAACTCATTGTCGTTCTCTCTCTGTTCTCTGAGCAACAGGCCAAGAATTACACAAAGCAGAAATAAAAACAAAGGATAAAATGTGGGGTGTATACTTGATCACCAAGCATCCGATGAACTCAGATCTACCCACAGCCAAGGGGGCACAACAGCAGACTAAGACATCACTTGGTAGGCACAGGCTTCAGGATCCAGTTGGGTGACAAAGCACACATCAAGTAATTAAATAAGACCCCAGACAATATAGAAACCATTGCTAAATTAATATTGAAGGTCACAACATTTCAAGAACCGATCTGAGTGGCAGCAGGCAAAGAGACCTTTAGAAGGAAGAGCTGACTTATGTACTGAATTGATTTCTTATTTCTTTCAAACAGACCTTAGAAACAGAAAGGCAGGCCCAAGTTATGATTAACACAACAAAGTAACTTCTATTTAAGTATGATGATGTCAAAACATGCACCTGACTTTTTCTGCAGATCTTAATGTATTCTTGTGAAGAAATTAAATAACAGACAAAAGCAGATCTTTGTGACTTCAAAGTCAATCTGGTCTATGTAATACATTCTAGGCCAGTCAGGGCTACATAGTAAGACTTTGTCTCCAAAAGGAAGGAAGGGAGGGAGGGAGAGAGGGAGGGAGGGAGGGAGAGAGGGAGGGAGGGAGGGAGAGAGGGAGGGAGGGAGGGAGGGAGGGAGGGAGGGAGGGAATTAAAACAAAAATAACAACAAAAAGTCAGAGACATAAAGATTGGAAGAGAAGATAACAGCAGATGAGGGATGGCTCCACACATGTCAAGAGGCAAAGGGAAGGTAATTAATAGAACAGCAAAGGCTGAAGTCCTACTCCTTGAAGCAAGCAGAAAGACCCAGATGCCCCCACTCCTTGCCGGCATCTCCTCAGACCCTCAGAATTTACAAGAATCAGATATTCCTAAAAGTAGCTGTATCTTAAGAGTGGAGCTGCAAACAGGGAGGCTAGGTGGAAACCTACAAGCCAAGCTGCATTATCCTTTCTCTCTGTCCTAAGCCTAGGCCAATGCCAAATCTTTGATCAAGCAAAACATGAGCTGAACTGTCTGGAAGGCGTGGCCTGAGATCAGCTGCTACACTATGCTACCCAGCCCAGCTAAAGGCAGAAATAAGAGCTGTATCCAACACTTAGGACCTTCTCCTCTCCCTCCCTGGTTATCCCAGGGCTCAGAAATCCCAGAATTTAGTTCAGTGGGTCATCTCCAGGCATCCTGGATAAGCTCCTTTAATACAAGAAGCTACCAATTTCTATCGCTCCTTTGCTAACTTCCTGCCTAACCCTACATACTGGATGGACCCTGTGGATGGATCCTCTCATTTCTTCTATTTCTTCTCTCCCTTTAACTGTTTGCACCCTACCACCCCATCCACACACACATTTTCAAGGAAAACATCTTTAGTATTTCCTAATACTTTTATGAAATTGTTCACTTCTGCTACCATATTTTTAACTATAGAGAAATCATTCAGTTTTTACTTTCTTTTTTGTTTGTGCCTTTCACATCATGTATCTCCACCCCATTCATTTCCCTATCCCTTCATATCTGCCCTGTGCCCTTGCAACCTCCCTATTCCCCAAATAAAATAAAATACAATTGAAGAGAAAAAAAAAAAAAGAAAAATCAGTCTCCTCATGGAGGCTGCAGTGTGACACAGTGAGTTGCGCAGTAAACCCTTTGTCCATGCAATGAGCAAACGCTCATTGCAGAGTCATTGCTGTGGTTTGAGGCCTCTGGTTGCTGCGACACTGTCCATGCTGGGCCCTCACTGGAACACCCTTTGGTTATCCTGTTGCTGTCCTGTGTCATGGAGATCCTGCAACTTTGGGTGTGCAGGACCGGTCCCTTCACATGCTCCAGCAGATCACAGATGGGGTGCATGTTAGGGTGGGTCAATCCTAACTGCAGTTCTGGGCCTGGGTTGTTGCAGGGTTAGTCAGCCTGCCACTGAGAAATCATTCTTGCTCTTTTAATAATATTCCCCTTTTTAATGTTTCATAATGAGAAATTTCAAAAACATAAAAGCAGAGAACCATGTAATAACTCCTAGGTAAATGCCCATGTGCCAGCAAAAGCTCGGCCAATAGCTTAGGTTTGTTTCTAACCGGCTCTTATAACTTATATTAACCCATTTCTGTTCATTTACATGCTCCCACGTGACTCGTGGCTTGTTACCTCATCTCCTACATGTCATACTTCCTCTGCATCACCTCATAACTCCACCCTTCTTCCCAGCATCCTCTGTGCCTGGAAATCCTGCCTAGCTATTGGTCATTCAGTTCTTTATTAGAACAATATCTATCTCATTGTAGAGTATGATCAAATATCTCGCAACAGGCAAACACTGAACAACATTAATGATGATTATCATTTAATACTCTTTTAATTCTTCTAGCCTACCATTATTTCTGTATTATTTCAAAGCAATCCCAGATGTCATAATATTTTGATTGCAGTTTTTTATGTGTGCGTGTGTGTTTATAATATATAGGGACAGCATGTTTTCTAAAAATACACTATATTATCACAACTAACAACATTATTAGTGTGAATGTTTTCCTGTTTTAGCATCTTGATCCTGTTTGCAGCTGATATTTTCTTTCATCTATTTAAGAATATTTATTATGTCATAGTGTCCCATGCTAGAGCAACCTGCGGCCCTGAACCATTGCCTGGCCTCTGCCTGTAGGCTACTGGCACTGAAGTGGGCCGCACAGTAAAAAGGGAAAAAAAATTTAAAAAATAAGAATATTTATTATTTGTTTTAAAGGTTTGAGATTATTTTGCTCTCTTTCAAATCATACTTTATTTTACATATAGCAATACAATTTACATGTTAAATAAAATACTAGACTGGTTTGATATAGTTTTAAACAAAAGAAAAAGAAACCAAATTGTTCAGGTTACAGAACCATTTCCCTCAGAACAAAGGCTTTCTTTCTTACTCCACTGACCACTGGTGCAAAGGGGGACTAATCACTGACCATGTCTGTCGCAATGACTCACTTAAAAAGTTTCCCCTTCTAACTAGCATATAAGTTATATAAAACAATATTTCCCTAAATTATTTTCATGCATACATTTAATGTATTTTGGTCATATCCAACCTCTCCTATGGCCATCTCTTGTCTCCTCCAGCTCCAGCTAGTCTCATTTTCTTCCTAGCTAATACCCCTTCGACTTGCATATTTTTTTATCTGAAATCTACATTTGAGAGATAATAACTACATGTCACCCATGTTTCTCATTGGTCTGGCTAGTTTCCTTCGATAGGAACCCCAACATCTACTCTGGACTCAAAGGTTGCGTAACCTCTCCAAGTAGCCCTAGTTCACAACAGAGAGGCCTCATTCCTTGCAGCTTGGAGACTTGGTGTAATAAGATCATGTGTGTTTTAAATCTAAATTAAAGCACCACTCCTTTTTTAAAAAGTGCTTTCATATGAAAAAAAAAAACCCTACATTTTCTGCTTCTTTTGAAGACTCCAATTTCTTGAAACGCTGTCATTCTGCACCCTGGGGCTCAGTTCGAAATCCTGCCCTAAACTGAGACGGAGATTCGGCTTGAGCAATCACCCATCATTAGCTGATAGGAGCAAACATGTAGGAGCTGCTATGGAATGAAATGCACCTACATAAAAGACAAGGGCATTTGCAAAATATGTCTTCATTAACTTTTTTTTTTTTTTTTTTTTTTTTTTTGCTATCCTGGAAAAAGGCTGAATAGCCTGATACAACAGTAAGAAAAGGTAAAACACAGGGCTAGACAGTTGGCTCAGCATCAGCACTTTATAGCACTTGTTGCCCGGTTCCCACCACCACCATGTGGCTCACAACCACCTGCAATTCCAGTCCCTGGGGATCCGGTGCTCTCGTCTAACCTCCAAGCCACCAGGTATGGACATGGTACAGATATATACACACAGGTAAGACACTCCTACACATAAAATAAATACATCTGAAAGGTTTTAAGTGGAAAGAAAAGACTAAACAAGTTTCAGGACTCTATGACAACAGACAAGCAAAAACCCTGTAGACTCTACACCCCAGAAACAATCACGACCCCAATAGCAAGGCGTTCCCTCCACAACTAGTGCACAAGATAGAAAGGGGAGAAATAAGAGGGAAAGAGAATAAGGAACAAAAATGATCTCTTCCAAGAAAAGGCAAGCAAACCAAGGTTCCATAGGGTTAAAGATTAATCAAATTCTGAATTTTAATGCTCCAAAAAGTCCCAACATTTTTTAACTAGGTAATATATTTGTATGTTTTAAAAATACATACACTACAGTTAGATATATTCATATGCACATATTATTAAATGTACACAAATATGTAAAACACACATAACTATGGTTAGCAATTATGTCAAGGAAATTTCTAGAAGCTTCCAAAGACATTTTAGATAACCTCAAATGATTTTTTTTTTGTTTAATACAAACTGATAGGCCAAATAGCTATTGTACAGCATGGATATACTTAAAAATTACTATGAGACTAGATTTTTAAGTGTTCCCATCATTAAAAAAAAATACGTTAAGTATATGAGCACAGTGTATATACATTTATTAACTTGATCTTTGCCTTTCTACTGTAGAACGTGAAAAGCACTGTCTTAACAAGTTTAAAAAGTACTTTTGAAAAAAAATGTCTAGACAGAACTTTTCTGAAGAGCTGGAAGCCTCCATTTCACCAGCTTTAGGCTTAAAAGTTCTCTCTGCTGCCCATGCACCTGTTAGCTAAAAAACACCTCGCTCTCACGCTAACATTAACAGCCCTGTCATTTATCCCTTAAATGTTTATCTCCTTTGGTCACAATTTTATTGTCATTAAACAGCAGCTACTGTGTGACCAAATGCCGCGAGTACACAGAGAGGCCGCTGTTCTCTTTCCAGCTGAATGGACTCTCGCTGGTGTGAACAAAAGACAAGAGCCTGCCATTCTTCAAGCTAAAGGCAGGAGCAGCAGGGAAACCCTTGACACAGAATCTCCCTCCATTCACTGCTGAACCGCTAACGAGCGCAGCCTGCAAGCCCTTGCTCTGCTTTTTCACAGGTTTCGACTCATGAAAATAATTACACATTTTAGCATCCTTTAAAAGGCTATTAAATAATAACTTACAAGCCACTGTAACTAATACAGTACTTATTATCTACTGAGCACAACACTAGAGTAAAGACACCACGTGCCAGGCAAACAGAGACAGCAGTACCTTGCGAGAGACCCAGGGCACTGCACAGACTTGACATTTGAAGCCAGAGGTTTGCAAAAGCTCCAAGGCCTTAAGAAAGCAGATGAAGTTGACGCCTTAAGGCCAACTCTCAATCAAGAAGCTGCTGCAGCCCCAGCGCTGAACTGTGCTGAGGGCTCCCTGACCTCCCAGCTCTCAAAGGCTTGTGGTCCTCATCACACTACTCAGCACCGTTCTTGCTAGCCCCATCCATGTGGCTGGCTCATGAACACAGCCTCCGTGCCTTTTCTTCCTTAAATTAACCATGTCCTCCTTTAATCCCAGCACTTGGGAAACAGAGGCAGTAGAAATGTAGGGGTGAAGGACCCACTTTCCTCTTGTGCCATGAAGAGAAATGGTTTATTACCTAGGTGTGTGTTTCCCTGCAGGTGACAGAACCCCTAAATAGCTCTGGCTTACCAAGCCTGGTCTGTGACTCCCACAAAGGCGTTAGAAGTTGCCACTCCTTCTAGTACTGCCCTGCATCTTCAAGATCCCAGGGCAGAACATGCCAGGAAGCAGAACAGAAAGCAGGCCTAAGAAAAAACAGCCAAGGGCACAGCAGCTGGAAACAACCACAGCATCCCTCTTCTTTTAGTCACGTGGTCACAACTGGCTGCAGACGCAAACCAAACTTAAGACAGGCTACACGCCTTAAAAGTTCAAGACATAAGTGAGACACGTGGTTTAGAAGTTAACTTTCAGTCTACCACAATGAGGCTTCCATTTCTTATAAAACTAGGCAGAGTTTATGGTTTCAGTTAAATAACTTGTTTAGAATAAGACAGTGTTCCGAACCCAAGAACCACTGAGATGCAAGGACATTGTGATGGGGGCCTTGATACTCGCGCACACCCCAGTGACCCAGACTAAACAGCTGGTTACACACACGTTCTTCCCCTTTCTGTGACTCCCACAGACCTGATGACTGTCCTCTGAGTCTTGTCACCTCTCCAAGCTCCTCGGCCCTGAGGCCCAATCACCACCTATCATTAAGAAAGAGAGGCCTTTCACATCCAAGGGGCAAATCTCACAGAATGACATTCCGCTGATACTTAAAGGTGACAGGGATGAGAGCAGAAAAAATAAAGAAAAATGTAGAAGCCAGTTGGGGCGGCCTTTCATTATACCCCTCTCAGGAGCTATTAATCTTGGTCATAGTCAGTCAGCTAAAAATAATTGCTTCTCCTAACATGTGTTGTACACGCAACTAGGAATAGTAACAGGTCAGCCCTTTACCTAGGAAACGTGGCTTCTGGCTCGCCCACAGCCAGGCGAATGGCTCTACAGTTGTTCTAGCACAGGAACCTCTGGTCTCCTCCAACACAGAGTGCCACGGCAGACAGCAAGCCACACTCCTTAGGCTTCTGTCAGGAGTATTAACGGGAGATTTGTGACTTCTTTTAATTACAACTAAGGTAAGCAAAAATTTTAAAGACCTTACCATTGGGTTTATGAAAACATTTCTTGGCTGAGATATTTTAATTAGGTCATTTTTTGTTTTGTTCTGTTTTGTTTTGCTTTTTAATCCGGAGATGTAGCAATCCTCTCCTGGTTCACTGTTAATTTGCCCTCAAGTTCAAGGGCTTTGAGCTTTTAAGTCTGTCAGTCTGTGGAAAACGCTCTGAACCTGGACTTCTAAATTACAGATTCTGTTCCGTAATTAGCCATTATGGACTCCGAAGCAGTCAATGAACCTTCTGGGCCTCAGTTACCTCAGCTCTACTCTGGAAGGACTGCCTCGAAGGGCCACATGGTACTTCTCCACCACATTAGTTCAAATGCACAGGCCTATCTCACTAATAATAATCACAAATACCCATATAGATTTTAAAAAGTCATAAATGGGGCCTAGCTAATAGGGATTACAAAGGATACTTCCAGAGGTCTCCAAGGATACACACAAGATATAAAAACAAAGGCACTGGTTGCCTAAAGCTGGGTGCTATACAATGCAAGAGGAGAAACTGAATGGGGGCAGCCAGTGGGGAGGAAGTATGGGACTAGGAAGAAAGAGGGGTTATCTCTGAAGAGAAATAGACAGGCCACCTGCCAATGGTAGAGAAAACTCTACCTTCACATAACAAAGATTCAGACTTAGGGAGAAGCAGGGCCATTTCTACAACCCCCATTTCCCAGTGGAGGGAAGGGCTCTCTTTCAGAGATGCCCACATTACAAAATGGGCCTACTGCTTGATACTGTGCCCAGCCACTCCTTACCCTCTAGACAGCAATCTCGTCGAATGAAAGGTGTGGGCAGTCTGGAGGGCTGACAGTAATCAGGACACAAGCCTCAGACGGCACCAAAAAACAAGAAGCAGGAATTATGCAGCCGTTATGGGTCTTCCTGGCGCCGGGAAAAATCACAGCAAATATTTTGCAAATTGTGTGAAGTCAGTGTTTGCAAAGGAAATTACAAAGGTGCAAAAACTGTGAGAATTTTTTTCAGTTCTACCGGTAACCAAATAAGTCCCTAGAGGGACAGCGATA